GAGACAGAGACAGCGTGAGCAGGGGAGGGGCAGAGAAAGAGAGAGAATCCAAAGCAGGCTCTGCACTGTCAGATGGAGCCCCATGTGGGGCTTGAACTCACGAACTGTGAGATCAAGGCCTGAGCTGAAACCAAGACTCAGACACTCAGCCGACTGAGCCCCCCAGGTGTCCCTACTTCCGTTCTTATTTTCCCAGCTTCTGTTTGCACTTTCCCTAATTCTCCACCCTCACAGTTTCACCCTTCTTTCTTCCCTTTCAGTTCTTTTATTCATCTGCCATCGTTTGAGGCTTTGCAGGTAATGTAGGTGGTCAACACCAGGCCAGTAGGAGTGGTTGTTCTCATTGGTTACTATTTAATTTTTACAAAGGGAATGATTGAAGGATGTCCTCTGAATGTCAGGCTCACTCCAAGGACACTCGTTGGCTGATTACTCGCTTTGTGTATTGTGCTCCCCTCCGTTTGAGAAAGAGGCCTGAGGTTTGCTGAGATGGTGATCAGGGGGGTGAGGGAGAGATACTGGTGTACGAGGGCCGTTGGCAATGCCAACTAGTTTGGGGGAGATAAAGCATCTTTCACTAGAACAAAAGAAATCACTAATCCAGTAGGATCTGAAATACAAAACCTTGAATGGCATTCGGGAGGAGTAATTACGTGGGAAACACCATTGCTCTTGGTACAAGTAATGTGAAACGAGGTGACGCATTCCCGCTGCTTAGCAAAATGCCAGAAGGGAGTTAAGACCTCCGTTGATCCTAGTTGCTCTAATGTCTGTCGTTGTGAGGCTCCAAAGTCCCCGCTGTTGTCAGAGGTCAAGAGCTCTTGGCTTCTTCTCTGACCACTGCCTTGCTGACTCCACACAATGTCTGGGCCTCAAGCCCCGCGGGCGTCCCGGGGAAGCCGCCGGGGTGATCCGCAGCCCTTCCGCTCACGGCTCCCCATGGCTCAGTTCAGCCTCTGTCGCTGTCGTAGAGGACACGCAGGATGCCAGACGGGGGACCTGCCCTGCCCACGGCGTCTCAGTCGGGAAACCCTCAGTGAGGCCTGGGCAGGCGCCCCTGCGTCCTTCCCAGCTTCCCAGAGGGGGTGACATCTTAACATTTAGACCCTGAGAGAGCTTCATGGATGCATGATATCAGCTAAGTCAATTACAAAACCCCAGTCATGGTTCTTCTTTTTCTTCTTCTTTAATGTAAAAATATCTCAACATTTTCCAAAAAATGGGAAATAAAAATTCATCATCATCACGACCAGGAAGGCCGAAAACCCATCTCCCCAACCATGTGTTGGACACACGTGCCTGACGTCCCCCTCGAGAGTGCAATGCAGTGTAACGCAGGGGGAGGGCTGCAAAGGTGCTGAGGGTTTGCCCAGATTTGCCCCACTTCTACAGGCAACGGCGCCGGGGTGGATGAAGGGCGACTTCCCATCGGCCTGGCTCTCCCTCCCGTCCCTTGCACACTGCTCCAGAATGCCTAACCTAGGGAGATTCTTGGCCGTTTTGGGGAAAGAGTGACGCTGATTTTTTATTTTTATTTTTTTGACTCAGAGGATCACAGAATGAGGAATGAAGTGACTTCGGAGGTGGTCCAGGATGACCTTTTCCCTAATGAATTACATGAACCATACGGAGCCCACTGCGCCTTCCGTAGTGTTTCTGTGATCTGTGGCGACTGCGTGTGTTTAGCGTCTACCGTCGAGTGGCGGAGGGGCCATCTCTGTTAATTCAGGTTGCACGTTCCCGACCCCGACGAGCGCCGTTCGCTAATTATGAGATCCTCCCTTTACGGCTCCATGACGAGGTCTTTTCTCGGTGCCAGAGTCCCTTGGGTCTTTCTGGTTTGAAGTTTTGCACGGAAAAGGCTGGGAGGATGTTCACTGAGGGTAGCTGGAGAGGCTCGATGGGGCGCAAAGACCAAGGACTTCGGAGGCCAACAACAATGACAACCGCCAAGAGCTCTTCACTCATTTCCGGCGTTTTGCTCAGCGCCTCGCGATGCGTCATCTCCTCTGGCGCTGTCCCTCCCAGAAGCGGATCCACATTTACACACGAGGATGTGGGCACAGCAACGTCTTCACGGTGGTGTGAGGAGACGGTGGTGGAACCAGGGCTGGGATCGCGGACGACGCGGACGCAGGCTCCCAAGTGCCACGCCGGTATAGGTTCCAATTCCCAATGGGCTAAAATCTACCATAAGGTATTTTTGATGGCTTGTCATGGCCAGGACACTTTAGTGACAGTGTGTCCTTGTGGAGATTACATAGTGGCTCTGATTGGTCACCATGTGGGTATTTTGCCCGGTTGTTTTGAGGGCTGGGCACGAATGTAGTGTGACGCAGAGCAGGCATTCAGTAGCCCGCAGCTGCCACTCGGGGAAACACACCCGTGGTTACCTCGGGGGTCTTCCGGCATTGCTGCGGATTTGGTTTAATTACCTCAGACTGTTGGTTACGGAGCCCGAAAGCCCACTGAACCCCGCAGCCTCTCGGCAGGTGAGTGAGACACCATGTTGGAACCTGTCGTCCCCATCGGGCAGTGACAGAAAGCCACGTGTGCTTTCTTAGGAGATCACGTGAAATGCAGGAAAAAAATCCAGAATCATGTATTTAATTGCTGCAGTTATTTAATTAGGCAGGTGACAGCAGGGTTAATGAATCATTGACACGTAAAAAAAGCCATTAGCTCACCGTTTCCATAATTTTATGCCATCAGCCAGAAAGCTGTTTCTTAGGGTAGTTGTACCTTCACAGAATTTTGCAGGGAATAATTTCTGTTGTTGTGTTATAAACCAGGTCAGTAAATTCGTGGTATTGCTGATACGGCTTTGGTTTTTTGGCTAACGCTATGCAGGCGTGTATAATTTCCTATATAGAAAGTAATTTTGTATGTCACGTGACAAGAGGGTGACAGTGGACGGACGTGTGCATTACCACAATCTCCAGTGACCTCACTTTTTCCAGGATTCCTCCTGGAGTATCAGAGCTGTTTATCACCTGCCACCGAAGCATTTATCATTTATTCATCTGTCATTCATTCATCCATATTCACGGCATACTTCTCAAACTCCTGCGGTGGGCAGCTCATTGTTCAGGCAGTGAGGTCCTTGGTGGAACATGACGACCGAGGTCCCTGCTCTCAGGAGGCTTTGATTCTATGAAGAGGAAACAATAATAAGTAAATAAATAAACACAAAACTATCAGACAGTGTTACATGCTACGATGGCCATATTGGTCGGGGAGGGTCGCTGAGGAACTGCTTCTGAGTTGACTTCTTAATGCAAGAAAGGGCAAGCTGTGCTAAGACCCGGGAGAACATTCCAGGCCCCAGGTCTAGTGCAGGAACAAGCTTGATGTTTGGAAGAAGGCAAACGCGGGCTGTGGCGTGGGGAGGAAGGGAGAGGTGGGGTTGTCGTGTGTCTGCCGCTGTTTCCTCCGCTGGGGTTCTAAGCCAGGGGGCAGCCCATCGCGACGGGTGATTACCAGGACCGCGGCTCCTTGTGGGGAAGGGACTGTGGGGGGCGGGGGGCGAGCTGCGGAGACATGGGGCCGCGGGGCCAGTGTGGCAGCGGTGGGGGCAGCAAGAAGTGAACGCGTCCGGGGATACGGTTTTGAGGCAGAATTGAGAGATGCGGGGTGTAAGGGAGGAGATGACACAGTGGTGTCCCCAGATTTTGTGGTTAAACACATGGGTCTGTGCTGGCACCGGTTCCTGAGACCGGGAAGTCTGGGGACGGTCAGCGGGCTGTGGGAACAGTTGGCGATTCTATCCGGGCCGTGATGAGACTGAGATGCCAGATGGTCTGTGGTCTGTCCCTCTCCATTCTCTCCCCACCTCCGTCTCTCTGCGTCTCTGCGTCTCTGTGTGTGTTGGGAGACTCATGTTTATTGGATTGAATATTTATCCCTCAAATATCTCCCCCAAACCCTGCGAGGTGTATGGTCCCCGCTGCAGGCGTTCATAGATGGCAGCTCAGAGGTGAGACAGTCCCGGCAAAGTCACGGACAGTGAGCGCTGGGAGGTGAGCCCTGGTCTGTCCGAGTCCAAAGCCACCGGGCTGCCTCCCAGCTTCGCTCTGCTGTCCCGGTGCCTCTCGGCCAGTTGTCCCCTGCGTCTAATGGTGCCTCAGGCCCTCAGCAGGACGCCGAAGGGGCTCTCCACCGCTCAGTCCCAGTCCTCCTGACCCTCTCCACCTGCCCCACGTGGACGCTGCCTCCTCGTCTCCTTCAGAAGACCTGGAACAGCACATTTTCCTCTCCTTGTCTAAAAAATAGTGCTGGGGAGACCATGAGATGCCCAAACCTTGTCACCCGTGTTAAGGGTACGTGCAGCTCACTCTTACACCCCAGGGTGAACCCCGGGTACGCGGGTCGGTGTTATTCTTGGCGAAGGAACTTTATAGATACTTTCACCCACTGGGGTGATTCAGGAGAGCTGCACTAACGTCACAGGTTGGGCAGTCTCTGTGTGTAAATGAGCTGGGCACCATGGCAGGGGCAGCGAGTGGAGGGGGACCGGACATCCAGACAGGTCAGGCCGGGAGGCCCAACCGGAGGCCCTGGGGGACACCCTCTACCGCTGTGCCCGCTGTGCTGGAGCAGGTGTGACGAGAGTCTAGGTAGGCCCTGAATGCCGAGTCTTACTCAGCGGTGGAGCCTCT